GTGGTTTTATTTACGTAAGTTATGAAACCATCACTTTATAGAGTTTCTTTCTGTGCTTGCAGAAACTCTATTAAGGTGATAAAACGAGGACGAAGACGGTGGCGGCTTGAAGTTTTCATGGAAAAAAAACTTGTGGACGTGCTGGATGGGGTGGTATCGTGGCAACTAGCAATGTCCACTTGTCAACCAAAACCTTGACAGCGTGAAAATTCCTTGGGTTCTTGTGGGAAAGACCTTGGAGACACACATACTCAGATACGGGGTTGTGAGTAATAACCGTTTAAAATAATGTAATATTTTTTAAACAAAGTGTAACCTGATATGAATTATTTTTAAAATTTAATAGCAGAAACACAATTATTACATATAGAATCCACATAAACAGTAACAGAATATCACACATCTATTATAAGAATGTATAGGAAGTTAATATAGTATTACAAACCGTTTAAAAATGTTACACTATTCAGGATATCAACAGTCCCTGCCCTGCGTTCATACATGCTCCATAAATGGACATTTTAATTCATTAAATTTGGGTTTCAAATTGATTTGGTTGCCTATGTTACACAATAATCAGTTCTGACCCTATCTTTTGCAATTGATATCAATTCGTGATCAAGGCACGCTTTATATGTATCATGTGTTTAAATAATATAACTCATATTTAGCTATAAAAATTATTTTACTAAAAATTGGTTTTACATTTTGAAAATTTTAAAGATAATGTAAAAGATGACACAAAATTTTAGCACCACAGATTCAAATCACACTTTATATAGTTAGATATTTGAAAGATATTTCCTTATTGATATGTTATAATTCTTGGACAAACATACTTACTTTTGTTAAGGTTAATAAAAGACTAAAGGAATTTTGGAAAATTTCCTTAATATTATGTTCATTACGTTTAATTGTTTGTTCTAATTTTTGGTTAATTAACCAACGTCAAACTTGATCATATGCTACTTTGGTAAGCTTAATTAAAAAAATCGAAATTTGCATTTCACAATTATTGGCACTCTTTCCTATTTTTGATATGTCACATTTGGACTATTCTGCTTTTAGAAACTAAACTTAACTAATAAAACAATGTTTTAGCTTCAATCCAAACAAAAAGCATTAATGATATTTTGATCAATTAAATAACTTAAAATCTGAGAAAAACAAATGGGGAGCTGAAAGGCTCATTCAGAGGTTTAGGTTGAAAAATGTACATCTCCTCACACACACACACACACACACACACATATATATATATGTATGTATGTGTATATGGATTGTGTTGCACATGATTCATCAAAGGAATAAGCTATAACAAAAATACTGACCTTGTCATAAAACAAATCAGAAAATTTACTTTATATATATATATATATATATATATATATAAACACACAACTTTTCTGATTTGTTTTATGAGAAGGCTAGTGTTTTTGTCATAGCTAACTCCTTTCACGAATCATGCGCAACACAATCCACCACGGCTGACGATTTGATTTGTTTATCGAGTTTTCTCTCAACTGAAAAAGAGCTTATCGTTCCCTTTCCATGTCAGTGACACTTGAATAATAAGCTTGTTTAGTACAACTAAATGGAATTTCTTTGTTATTGGTCATCTGAAAAAGTAATCTCAGAGAAAGCACCAGCTACGGTTCTAAATGTTTCTACAAAATTGTTGATAAAATGTCGACGACTTAAAGTCTTCATGGAACGTCTCTGGAGTGATGTATTCCTTTATCAATTTGTATCAAAATTGGATTAGTCCATCTCCAAAAATTGATGGCTTCCAAAATAGGATCCACATACTTTGCTACGCAGATGAGCTTGCGATTGTTCATTATTAAAGTAGACAACATCAGCCTAAAGAGAGCACATCAGTGCCCAGCCAGTCACAAAATATCAGTGCCAATTGTACTACAAAATGTAACTACTAACACAAATATTTAACCATTAAGACAATGAAATTACAAATAATAATAACGTACCTAATAATACAGCAAGTTTTATCACTTATTAAAAATTGTGTCTCAAAATCAATCTCATCTAGCGAACGTTCGTACTAAAATTATTTAAACCATCAATTGCAATTGTTCTATCAATAGTAAAGAATCTTCATCCAATTTGAGACTTTTCCCAAACTACGTATCTACAATTAAGATGTCGTTTGGAATTTTGCACTTCAACTATAAATGGATTGGTTTTACGATAGAATTTTAAATTTAACATTATTACCCATAGGTTGGCTTTATTCTAGGAGCTGTTTTTGCTTCTAAAATGACTCGTATACATCAGAGGCATGAACAGATAGTACCTTATTGGTTGAGGCCTCGATAATAATTGAAAGTATTAGAACCGCAAGCCAACTAGTCTAACCCCTTTGAATAAAGATGGAAGTACTGGTAAAATTAGTAATTCCATTACCAGAAGTGGCAAAGTGCAAAAAATTAAGATAACGTTAAGGGAAAAGTGCAAATTACACTAAAAGTTAGAGGCTTTGATTATTTAACCTTTTGTTTTGTTAGGTGGTTGTACATCATCGAACCTGTAGGTGATGGTACATCCACATTTTTCGATATTTATTTTCATTAATTCCTAGTCATTACTTTAAGTTAATCTTATGCGTGTCGATTTAGATAAAATTATGGTCAACTCTTGTGGTTGATAGTGAAAAAGTTGTTGGAGGTTTTAAATATAAAATCAGTTCATTTATTGTCTTGGAAAAAAATCAAAATACTTCTACACACATATAACAGTTTGGCGTTAAGGAACAAATCTTTATGGTCTTTGAAGGTTTCAAATAGGGGTGGCAATCGGGTCGGGTTGGGCTTAAGTATAACAAAGAACCTGCTGACCAAAACCCGACCCGTCAACCCGAAACGGGTCAGGGTACCTTAGGGGTAGCAATTTTTGACACGACCTGAAAACACGACACGAAACTAACACGAAATTAATGGGTTTAGGTTGAGATTTCGAGAATTCGGGTCATAATCGGGTTGAACCCGAAAAGAAAACAGGTCGATTCGGGTCAACCCGTGGTGACCTGATATGACCCGATATGACCCGTTTACGAATTAAAAATAATTTAATAAACATAAAAATAATTTTATCTAACTAAACTAAGTTATTCTTTTTTTCAAAGGCATTAATTACTTAATCCTAAATGAATTTATTTAATTTGTGTGAAGTTGAAATTATTATATTTGGACAAATAATATATTATATTATTTTTTACTTTTATACTGTTTTAATTTATTTTGTATTTTGTTTGGGATAAAACACTTTTACGGTGTTTAATTTATTTTAGATTTGATTTGAAATTATTTATTTAAATTTTTATTACTTGATTATGTAATTAGTTTTGTGAGAAATTAATTTTATTAGAAATTACAGTGATAAATTAATAAATTAAAATTAAATTTTGGGTCATTTCGGGTTGACCCGCCAACCCGTCAACCTGAAATTGTTGGGTTCGGGTCAGTATACCTGACCCGTCACGGGTTGGCGGGTCGGGTTCGGGTCAATAGATTTTCTGACGGGTCGGGTCAGACCCGAGCCGCCAACCTAATTTAGACCCGAATTGCCACCCCTAGGGTACCTGACACGAACCCGAAAATTTCGGGTTGGCAGGTCGATCCGAAATGACCCGAAACTTAATTTTAATTTATTAATTTATCACTATAATTTCTAATAAAATCAATTTTTCACAAAATTAATTACATCATCAAGTAATAAAAATTTAAATAAATAATTTCAAACCAAATCTAAAATAAATTAAACACCATAAAAGTGTTTTATCCCAAACCAAATATAAAATAAATTAAAACAGCATAAAAGTAAAAAATAACATAATATATTATTTGTCCAAATATAATAATTTTAACTTCACACAAGTTAAATAAATTCATTTAGGATTAAGTAATTAATGTCTTTGGAAAAAAAATGATTTAGTTTAGTTAGATAAAATAATTTTTATGTTTATTAAATTAGTTTTAATTCATAAACGGGTCACATCGGGTCATATCAGGTCACCACGGGTTGACCCGAAATTGACCTGTTTTCTTTTCGGGTTCATCGGGTTCGACCCGATTTTGACCCGAACTCTCGAAACCTCAACCCAAACCCATTAATTTCGTGTTAGGTTCGTGTCGTGTTTTCGGATCGTGTCAGAAATTGCCACCCCTAGTTTCAAATGAACCATCCTAGGTTTGGGCTCAACCTCTTATTAGACACATTGTTGAGAATGGGACTAACACCAATTTCTGGTTTGATGCATGGCATCCCCTTGGGCCATTGTATAGACACTTAACAGGCAACTTACTTTACAGTTTTGGATGCAAACCAAATGTTTCTGTATCAGAAATTATAGTGGATGGTAGGCAGGAAAGAAACAGCTGTAGTGAGGAGGCTAAAGGAAGTTACACTTGCGTGTTTTGAGCCTTTGGTGGGGTTGAGGATCAGATTATCTGGTGTATTCCATACAAAAGCTGCCATAAAGCTTCTTAGTGTCCCAAGAGAGAAGATGACTTGGGCAAAACTAGTTTGGGGAAAAGGATTTGTGCCGAGATCTGCATTTATTTTATGGTTGCTATGTAAGAAAAGATTCCCTACATTGGAATGGGGAGTGGACTGGAAATGCTTGATAGATTAGTTGTTTTGAATACTGTAACTATAGTAGTATGATGAGGGATGATTGCCCATGTGTACAAGCTTGAACACAATAATCAAATAAAATCCTTATTATTTGCTCAAACAAAAAAAAAAAAAAAAGTTTGGCCGTTAGGTAGCATCAGATTGGAAAGGGCTCTCATTTCTTGGGAAATGACTCGGAGGAAACCAACTAGTATTTTATTGTGTGCAAAGAAATGAAGCCATTAGACTGGAAAATTGAACTAATATGTCTTTGGATAATTAACAGAGGAAAAAGAAACTAAAAGAGAAAAAACGAATAGGCAAACAAGATCTTGCTTAGAGAGACTCCAACAAATTGATAATTATTTTTTATGACAGTGATTAGTTATTTTATCCAACAAAGATCAGATAACCACCAAACAACAGTTTTTTTAAGGAGCATATACATAACCACATCTTTCATTCACACCTACAACATAGTAGACATTATCTTCGCTTAAATTCGCATGGTATCGATATATGATTTCCCATCTAATTCACGAGAATATAGACTTTTCAAATAGTCCACCATGAGGACTCTGCTAAACTTTGCTGGATTTTCAGGGGTGATGAGACTTGGTGCTGGACCTAGATCACCATCCAATTTTGGGAAAGTAAACGTAGCAATAGAAAGTCTTTCCTTTTGTGAGTTTACAATTGCTCGATGCTCCACACTCTTGTAAGCTCCATTGGTTATAATCTGCCAAGTTGACGACACAAAATAATCAAGAATTGCTTTCATACCAAAGCAAAAGGTTTGTAAGTCTAACTATTATTGTAAATAAGCTAGACAGATTACCTGTTGTTCAATAGTTTAGTATCCATACTTCGTATAAGACATAATGCACTTGTTTGTAACTTTCAAAAGATTTTCATGTACGAATTTTTTGTTTTGAGGAAAAAGGGATAATTGTAAACTAATTTCCGAATGTCAATAGCGAATGGATAGGTACTTAACTGGCATCAATAGTTCAAGTCAATTACAAGTACTAATTCTACACAAAAAGGCTTTTTTTTTTTTCTACACACAAAGGCTACAATCTTTAGAAACATAACAATTCTTTTGCGTTTGCTAAAAGTTGTCCCTTCCCACTCTCATGCCTTATACAAAGCAATAGTATATACCAATCTCTCTCTTTGCGTACTCAATACTCATGCGAACATGTGTATGTGCATGTGTACGTGCCAGCAGGCATAAAAGGGTAAAAGAGAGAGGCTAGTGTGTTTATAAATAAATGTGTGTGTATGTGTGAATGCATAAAAGGGTAAAATTCAATATTTTGCTCCAAAGTCCACACAAGACCAAGTAATACATTTTCTCCTCACTAATTCAATTGGATCAATAACTATAGGAAACCTTCAATTGTTTTTAACGCCATGTAATCCCACAAATAGATGCCATCATGTGGATGTCAACACATGAAAAACTATGTTTTTAGACTTGGACTGAGTATCAACTCGGTCAAATTCAGGAGTCAGGGGTTAATGGGTTCGATCGGGGTTAAATCAGATAACGTCATAAATAAAAATTATTTAAATATTTAAATATTGTATGTAAATAACTTAAGCATATGTTAATATTAATAAATGTATATTCATATATATTTGATGTTTCAAATATATTTAACAAGAGAAGACAAAGAAATTAGAATGATCAAGTAGCAATTATATTATTTAATGAACATTAACAAGTTTAGAATTAAAATTATGGACTTGATTGAAAAATAACACTAAACTTTAGGACAATATTTATAAAATATGAAATATTTAAGGTATATTATTAATTTTTAACAGCCTAGGGATCAAAACATAATACTGAAAATGCTTTGACTCTTTTTTTTTTTAAAAAAAAAAACTTTGACACCAATAGATTCTTCCAGTTTTTCTAGTCAAACTCAGTCAAATCCGATTTTTGATCTGATTTGACTGAATTTCTATCTATCTGATTTTTTAGAATAACTCAGACTAGACACTTGACCGATTTTCAGTTCGATCGATCGAACCAATAGGTCCGGTCCAAGTTTAAAAACACAAATGAAAAATACACGAAGAGATAATGCTCTTAGAAGTGATACTTCAAAGGTCTAGCTCATTTTGGTCCATGGACTGGATGAGGTTGGACAAGTGTATTAGGAATATATCAAAATAGGGCTTCGTTGCATTTTGGGCTATATTAAACTAAGATTGGGAACTGAAATTGTGTTTTTGTACTGCCATATAGATCGGATATTCAAGTTGAATGTCATTACCCTCAAAAAAAAGAAAAAAAGTTGAATGAATCATTGGACATCATTTTCGTGATTTTAATAATGGCTTAAGTCAAAAGACATGTAGTATGCTGACTTGGCAAGAGTTTTTTTTTTAATCTCTTCTATTTTTTTTTTGTTTGCGAATGGAAACCCCCGCTATCACAAATTATTACATAGACCCTGCCACTTAGACAGACCTTAGGCAGGTACCCCTCCCAAGTGCAATGGAGGTGGCTAGGTTTGTCAACGGGTAGGGGTTCTGATCGAAACTGAAAATTCTGAACCCAACCCGTCTTTTTATGTAGTAAATCCAGACCCGACCCCTATATCCAATGGGTCTTGATCTTCGAGTTTTGGAATCGAGTTCGATGGCCTGTGGGTCGGATCTAGGTCTATTTGGGAAAAAAAATTCAAATTTAAACATTGCAAAATTAAATCCAAAACTAATCATAAATCCATCTCCAAAATTAAACAAATCAAATTACAAAACTAAATCACAAATAACTCAATAGTCAATACAAAACTAACCACAAATCAATCTACAAAATCATTACTAAATTGTTAATTTGGTAAAAGAATGTATTAAGAAATATTTATATTTTATAATTATTAATATATTGTTTGGGTCTGGGTCGGAATCCTATATTCCGTATCTAACCTATTTTTTGTCAGAGTAAACGGATCTGGATATCAGAATTATTTCTCAACCCATATTCAGAAAAAAATTATCGGGTCTGAGCCAAGTTTGGATCCAGGCCTGACCCATTGACACCCCTAGAGGTGGCCAACCTAGGCCATGGGCCTTTTCTATCACCCATTGGCCCCATTTAGATAAGTTGGGAAGACCTTTTTTTTTTTTTTTTTGATAATAGGGCAAAAATAAGAAACAAAAACAATTTTAACACATATAAAAGTATGTGGGAAGAGAAGGAGAATGAATATACAAACAAACATTTAACTATTTATTAACTCAAAACTCAATCATAGCAATATCAAATTGTAATTTTGTGCTTATGACAACTTACGAATCTAAATTATGAGACTTTCCCTCAAATTTACTTTCTAAACTCAGACTCAATTTTTCAAGTAATAATCTACTACTCTAGTAGTATTTATGCATTGTTAAACTTATTAACAAATATAATTATAAACCGAAACTTATTTGGAACTGATTTGAAATCTCCTAAACCAATAAGGGAACTAAACGAACAAGACACCGAAACAAGAAACTAGAAGAATTAGAAAACTAAATACTAAGATAGTTGGGTTTAATTTCCTTTATTGCCTTCCTTAAACCATGCTCGTTATTGTGCTCACCGCCAATGTCATTTCGAACTTGAATCTCTATGAAAAACTCAGTTGCAGTAGACACAACATTTAACTCCAACTCATGATTGATTTTTAGTTTCATCTTTACACGTAACAGTGGTCGAAACTTATACTTTTTGAACAATTTCTTACCTTGATCACTTATGTCAAAAAAGTTAAACATGTTCATCCAAACTCCATTCATTACTCCACGTCACCAAGAAAATTTCCCAACACTAGAAAATCATAGTTAATTGCCACCTCCAATGTTTTTAACATCACCATATTTTTCCTTTAATTTTTTCACACTAAAAATTGCATCAATTTTAACAATCGCATCCTTCGCTTCAAAAAATTCATCAACCACAATGAAATCAAAAAATTTCTCTCTTATCACAATCTTTAGTTACATTTTCCATATCACCAATGACTTCACTTTCTTTCTCAACCACATGTGAAATTTCTTTTTCGGCCACAAATTTTTCATCTTCACGTGTGCCCATAATTTCTGCAATTTCTTCTTTCTTTGGCTCATCAAAAAAAAAAAAATTTCTCCTACCTCATCACAAAATTCTTCTCCACCATGACCATAGAAATTCATCAAAATTTTCCAAACCTCCGTTGCTGTATTTACATCTATAAATTTTTTGGCTACATGCAATTGGACTTGGGTATTGAGATATTGGAATGCCTTGCAATCTAACTATTTATTCTTCTCTAACTCTTAAACTGCTTAATAATTCGTACCTTCTATAGGTTTTGTGAACCCCTTTTAGAAAAAATCCCAAATTCCAATAGCTTGAATTTTTTTTTCATCATCCAACTCCAAATCTCAAAATCATTTTTACCATCAAAAAAAAAACATCACAACGTGATCAATAACATTGATCCATGCTTCAATTTCATGAACAAGCCCTAGAATCAAAGTCTAGACCTCTAATACTTTGTAGGAAAATAGCCCATAGGATAAATAATCAAAACAAATCACACACTCGAAGAAATAGCATGGCAGCGAAATATTAATAAACAAACAAACGGAATGGGCTCAAGAAAGAAATGAAGGAAACTAATTCCTAAACTAATATGAAAACTAAATAAACAAGACACCAAAACTAGAAATCAGAAGAATTAGGAAACTAAATACTAAGATAGCTTGGTTTAATTTCCTTCGGTTAGTGAAACTAGTTAGGAAAGGAGTTTGGTAGTCATTCCTTTCTTATAGTCAATCTTTCCCTCTGCATTTCTTTCTTCTTCTCTCGTTCTGATCATTCCTCATTCTTGAACTAATTCTTTCCTTCTCTAGTTCATTTTTCTCCCAAATCAATACTTCATTTGGACTCCAATGTTTGAGTCCCTGATAGTTGTTGGTATGAAGCGGTTGACTCTGGCTGCTTGAATACCCCCTGATCATGGCTGAAACTACTTGTTTTAAGTCTTTGAAGGAGCAGGTCAAGAAACAGAAGCAAGGTTGAACAAGGCTCTGGCTTCCATAGGAAATTTTTAGTAGCAGTTAGACTCCATGAATAATTTCCAGCAACATTTTAAAGATGAGTGGGAAAGTAATGGCAAGAAGATGGAGTCCATGATTCATAATGTGCATCAGAAATTCAGCTCCTCTATGATGGTGATGTCTTGTAAAGACAATCAGAAAGTGATCTGCGAAGAAGAAAATTGTGGGATTCCCACCTCCTAGAAGCAACAGAAGTTGCTGTCCACCAATGAGCCTGGAGCGACTACTAAGGAGAACTGGAGTAGGATTCCTTTTCCCAGTTACTCTTAAGGTTGAATTACCTATGTTCTTTGGGGATAATCTTAGGGAATGAGTCAGAAAATGCCATAAATTATTCTTGTTTTACAAATTTTTTTGATGAAAATAGAATGAATGTGATTGGAATGTATTATGAGGGAATAACAGATAACTAGTTTCTGGGGGTCAAGATTGAAAAACCTAGCTAGTTTGTCTTGGAAGGAATTAAAGAACTATCGTGCACACATTTGTTGACAGAGGAAATTTGGAAAAATTCAATAAGTCGCAATAGATTGGTAATTTAGAAGAATACCAAGAGAAGTTTGAACAGTTGAAAACTTTGATGCTCCTCGGGAGTAATAAGACTTAGTGAACGATATTTTGTCTCCAGTTTCATTAGCGGGCTTAGAGAAGAAATTAGGCACAGTCAAGATGTTCAAACCTGAGATTTTAATAGTAGCATTTGACGTAGACAGATTAGACAAGGGGGTAGGCAGAATGTGGACTCCAGATTTGAATTATATAAAATCAAAATTGGCCATGGTATTGGAACTAATAGCTATAGGCTCCCTCGTTATCGAGTTGAAAAAGGAGCTTCTGCTAATCAGGATTCTAGTCCTAACATCATATAGAAAATTTCACCATCCAATGCCAGTCTTTGTTTCACGTGTGCCAACAAATTTGGAGCAGGACATCAAAGTAAAATGAAGCAGCTGCATCTGATGGCAGAAGACGAAGACGAGGAAATTGAATTTGCAGATGTCCAAGGGAAGCAAGAAGAGGTTACTAGTAATCTTGGGGTTGTGGTAGACATGTCATTTCATACTTTGTCTTCTGGGCTCAAAAGAAAGACCATTACTCTACAACAAGTTATGAGAAGTGTAGTAGTGAACGTATTGGTGGACACTGGAAGTTCTGATAGCTTTATCAGTCACAGCTTAGCAAAAGGTTCTCATGACTAAGTTACTAAAAATTTGGTATGTAAGCTAATTGTAGTCGGAGAGTAAGTGCATTCCACATGACAATTTGGGCTTTTATAGGAGTGTTGTGGCACATTAATGTTGGAAAAAAAATGTAAATATTGGAAGTCTAGGGAGAGGACAGATCCAATCAAAACAACGTTTATTCACCATTTTGATGACATTATATATAGTTTACTATTAATGCCCTTTTACTGGTGAAGAAAGTGATTTTTTTTATTTAATCTCTATTTATTCTCCTCTAAGTCTAGATGTAATATATATTAGTCCTTATTAAAAATTTAGTTAAGTAATTCATAGTTGACTAATCTGACAAACAAAATATAACAAAAATATTCTTCTAACAATTTACATAAACTAAAAGAATAAAATATTACGCTGTTAAGTAGTAACAAGCTTAATATTATAGCATGATTTCAAAATTTTGCCAACTGTATTTATTGTTATTACCATATTATTTTTTTATTACTACATTATTTATTATTACTATTAGATTTAAAGTTCAATAAATTGAAAACAATGGATAAGATAAAAGAACATTAATTCAACATGAATTTGAAAAGACTTTAAGGATATTAAATTGAAAAAGCTTTTTTTTTGGTTTTATTAATTTGATTTTTTGTATATTAGATACTATAGAGAAGATATAAATTTTTTAGCAACAAAATGGCAATAATGATAAATTATTAATCATTTCAGAAATGAAAGGGCATTAACATCCTTACACTCACTTTTTTTCTTATGACGTTAATATTTATATCTTTGACTAGTTTTCAAGGGGCCAAGTATACAATTTTAAGGCTCGTAATAGTAAAGTCAAAAGTGTGCCTACCCCGAAAGCTTAGCAGAGCAGAGTGTGACTGACCCTTAGAACAAACAACGATGGAGCAAATTGAAAAGCATGTACTTGTTAATGGGGCAATTCACAATAAAGCCTTATATTTATGCGAATCCTTACCTCTAGGATATCACCAACGTTGACTATAAAAGCATTAGGAAGTGGAAGAACAGGAACCCAAGCTTCATTTTCCTTGATTTGGAGACATTGTACATCGTTGATTTGAAGTAAAATGGTGAGGCTAACAGGATCAGAGTGATGGCAGAGGCCTGTGACCAGCTCAGGTTGAGGACATGGAGGATGGTAAGTGAGCCTCATGGATTGCAACCCTTCTTCTAAAAGCACTTCAATTTCTTCATGCTTCATTCCTAATGCTTTTGCTATTAGGTTGAGAATCTTCAAGGCAAGACTTTTGAGCTCTATAGAGTACTCTTGAAGACTTTCCCTATGTAGCAGAACCAAGAACATTTGAAGGAATACAAAGGTAACTAGCATAAATATCGGTTTAGTATCATAACAAAAGAAAAGAAAAGTAAATTTTGCGCACAAACTTCACTGTTAGTTTCATGTTTTGCAGTGTTATTGGATTGATTAACATGCAAATAAACTATTAGGAGAACTTAGCATACCTAAGTCTAAGTATAAATTTAGATGTATATTATAATGAACTTAAAATCATAACTGATTTGTTTATTTTCAAATTGCATAGTGAATCAAGATATTTCAATAAATTTGAGCTCATTGTAACCATTTGTCACAGTGAATTGGTGATTTTTTATTGTTCAACTTCATCTTTTATAATATTAGTAACATTTTGACCTAAAATATCTTAGGCCATCCTCGTTCTATCTTTCTTCTCTTTAGAAAAAACTCTCTAACTAAAACTCTCCTTCAACTCTTTCATGAGAGAGAGATCAGATTTTTCTAATCTTTCTCCATGCGAGGAGCTCTCTCTATAGTTTCTTTTCATTTATGTGAATAAAATATTTCTTAAGATTTTCTAATGAAAGTTTCTTCTCTCTTAGAGTTGTCTAGTGAGAGTTTTCTTCTCTCCTAAATTTTTTAGTGGAGTTTTATTCTCTCCTAAGGATTCCTAGTGAGAGTTTTTGATAATTTTTTCAATTTTCTTTTATTACATTTGAGTTTTTCAGGTTCTGGTTATTTGATCTGGAATTTCTTAGATCTATTCAGTAGATCTCACTATAATAGATGGACTTGAAGTCGTTAATTAGTAGATTTGACGATTACAAGCATGCATAAATATCCGTGGAGCTACAATTATTTTATCTTATTTTTTAAATTTGGAGCTTTATAATGTAATTTTTATTGTTCTTCATATGTGTAGTATCCTTTCTTCAGATCTATTATTTGATATCTATATATATTTGATGATATAATTTCTGCCATTAGTGTAAATTTTAATGAAAACATGATATTTTATTAAAAAAAATCATCTTTGATCAAAACACAAACGGAAATTCTTGGCAGGTCATTATTTTTCTCAATATCACAAAAAGTGAAAAAGAAAGCTTCTTAAGCCTTAGTGGACTTACTAGCATATGCACAATAGGTTAATGTTTTGAATTATTCATATTGTTGTTCTAAATATATTTTTCTCTTTTTATTTGGTTTGGAAGATAGTGGATGGAGGGTGGCAGGGCAATTAATTCCTCATTGGCATTTCAGCTTATTTTTTTGCTTGACCTTTCGTCATCATGTATTCAGCCATTTCTGGATCTTTATACTTCCCTAAACATAAATCTGAAATGTTAGCTTTAAAAATTATCACATCAACATATTCTTTTATTCTATCTTTCTCAGTAGATAATTTTACAGAAAATCAACTTTACCTACTAAAAAATCTCACCTATCTGATGCATTAGCGTTCAAATTTAGATAGACGTGAAAACGTCAAATTAAATGGTATCATTGAATTGCTTTAATCAAAACCATCTGGCAAAGTGCATCAGTGGCCATTAAATTTTCATGAATGTCTCTTTTCGGCCATCCAATTTTTTTTTTTCCCATTCAAGAAAGTTCAGTAACTAGTAGTACAGTTTGCCTAAAATTTTAGCATACTACGTATGTTAGTTCATGTCAAAAACAGTTTTTATCCTAAAATTGCATAGTTAAAGAATTACAAGACTAAAGATAGAACACTTGATTTAAATTCCCCGTTTTGTGTGTGTTGTGCATGGTTGGTCAAATATACCTTAGAGGAAGAGGCAGCTTAGGGAATAAATGAGGTTTTCTTAAATCTTCTGGTTGAGTGATCATGTATAACATGTCAGCCCAGTCAAGCTTTTGCTCCTCTGATTTGACAAAGGCCTGCCCATATCCTTCTACATCTCCTGGTTCTTGACCATATTTGTTCTTTTCAGCCATCGGCAGATTGAAAAAATCTTGAACTTCTGATTTCAATTTCTCCACCAATGAAGAGCTAACTTCATGATTAATCAGCTACTGACAGTTTTTCTCATAAGTAATAGCGTCTGGATGGAACAGCACATAAGCATACGTATACTTTCAACCGATTTGCACTCGTAAAATTCAGGTAAAAGATGATTAAGTCATCAACGGATTCAATTTTCATAGGACTTTGATTTCATTTGAAGATGGTTTCTTTTTTTTTTCGGAACAAAAAAAAAAAAAGTTGTATTTGGTGGAATGCAGCTTCTGAATGCAGAATGCAGAATGCAGCTTCTGAAGCTCCAAATCACTTGCCTCCTCAGCAGAACTAAACAAGCTTTGCATATCCACAACTGGTATTTGGTGGAAAGAACCACCGTTAGAGATGGTTGGATATTGGTCTTTGTCGGGGCGTATGTAACGAGTTGGAACAGAAGAGGGATTTTCCTTAGCCAACTCTTGGACAAAAGGAACTTTCAGAGATCCCCCAAGCTTTCTTGTCTTGGGATCCATGATTGTGGTTATTTTCAACTTCAAAGTTCTAATTCCACTGAATCCCTGGTTCAGAATATATATATATATATATTTTTTTTTGCACCAGATGTTTCATTAATCCAACATTGTTTATTATTAGTTGAAATGCAAGGTGCTAGGCTTGGATAATATAAGAAGTTCTATACGGAACTAGTTCTAGGCTTGACAATGATGTCTCACCTAAAGAGCTGCTATTATAATTAATCTCATCCATATTCCACCTAAATGCAGTGTCTCAAAGGTAACCCATGGAACCATATAGTACAAATTAAACCTTGTCATATCTCTTAGGCCTACAAATTACGTTGATTTGGTAGACCCATTGATAATTACCTCCTCCTTAGTCACATTAAAAAAAAAAAAGCAAGTTTTATCGCTTCGAAATTTTAAAATTGACTTATGATTAAGGGTCTATCAGCTACTGTCTTCGAAAATGGTTCATCACTTGCACTTCATGATGTTATCCAAATTTTAGATTATCCTTAAATATTTATTGAAATTATACTGGCCTTGCTACGTAGACGGAAGCATAACAATTACTTTGATTAAAAAAAAAACTGTATATATATACAACTTTTTATCATTAAATTTTATAAATTTTTTTGAAGGCAAAAGTTAACATTTATGCTTTCAAAACTTTAATGAGGAAAAACTAAAATTTCTAAGCTTTAGAGAGTCGGTAACTAGAGGAATGGCAATGAGGAGGATATGAGGCTAGGAAGCCCTCCCCCGTCTCCCTCCTTGTGCTTTAAAAACTTCTCCTGGCTTTAGTGCTATCCCCCCACTTCTCTTACCCCCACCCCCATCCGTCTATCCAACGAGGGTGCCCTGATGGGTGGTTCAAAATAAAATTTTATTTTTTATTTTGATCTTATGTTTTCACATATAATATTAACAATTAACTTTATAAATCAATCTTTTGGACTTTTAACTAATATTCAACATTACATTATGTTTAAAATCTACTTTAATATTTTAAAAACATTTCTCTGTATTTGTTAGCAAATCTAAACTAACAACTGTTACTATTGTTGTTACAAAATTATAAATAATATAATATGTACATAGATATTGGCAAATATAGCTGCATATTAATTAATTTATTTAATTTATAGGCAAGGATGGCGCGGGGATGGTAGCCACACGGTGGGGGGAGAAAAATCCCCACCACCCCACTCCTGCCCCCACAGCTCTCTTCACTCCATTTCTCTCCCCAAAGGACGGGCATCCATTCCTACCCTTCCCACCTCTTAATTCTCATGCCATTGGATGGGCCAATTTAGAGGGAAAGTGAATAAAGTTGGCATCTATCTGCCCTATGGTTTAAGTCGTTATGGAAAGGAGGTGACCTCTTAATTCTCATGCCATTTCCAGCTTTGAGTGATGAAACCAGGAAGATGAAAATTCTAGACAAATTGTCGTGTCTCAATCAATGAACTCGAAGATGGATCATGCAACGGCGTGATTCTTGGTATGTCATTGTCCAATTAGCAAATTTTGAAAACATCATTGATGGTTGAGATGAAAGTCAAGTAACAAGAGGTTTAAAACTTTTCGGATTCTTCTATTCACAGAACATAATAAAAGATAGGTGCACTCTTCAATTATTTATGCCACCGTATGTTTCATTAATCAACATTATTGTTTATTATTAATCGAATGCAACGTTCTAAATTTGGATTAGAAAAGAAGTTGTATACGGAACTAGATTATAGGCTGACAATGATGTCTTATCTAATTAAAAAGGTGCTATTCCAATTAATTTCATCCATATTTCACCTAAACGCACTATTTTAAGGGTAGCCAATGGTACCGAACTAGGTATGTCAATGGGTCGGATTTTATCCAAATCAAATCCAAACCTAGTGTAACGCCCCCACTTCTCCCTAAGGCGAACCAAAGGGTATCCGCGGGACGCCTGCCTAACTCTCGCCAGGACTCAAGCAATTCCATTCAACTTATAGCCGGATCACACAATACAAGCCAATAACTTAGATACAATAAAATGCGGAAACGTTCAAACTTAATAATAGTCATCCATTCTCCAAACCACACGTCGGTATACAAAATACATTTCGTCCAAAGGTTACATTTCCATACCAAAAGTACAATCCCAAAATCAAAGGCATAACCAAAAGTAATAGCAAACCCTAAAACAAAAATACATCAGGAGGGCTTCTCTATTTTACTTCCGAGTTCAAACCTGTTAAGGAAAACAAATCTACAGGGTGAGCAAAACGCTCGTGAGGCCAAGAACACACATGCAAACACATAGTTCAGATAACAAGCCCAAATAACAATTCAGGTATTAGCTTGCAAGTAATTAATAACACCAATAAACTGTAACCAGAAACAATTCAAGGATATAGAAGCTCTCAGGAGCTAAGTTCCACATTTGCCGATACCATTTATATATCTTTCCGTGATGACTCTCCGTCAACCGGATTGATATTTTCATATCCGTAGTTCACCACTTACTTCCCATCCGTCCACCATACACCACTTCGGGCCCGCACTACATTTATAAGGCGATACTATACGAGTATGCCAAGCGAGATCTCTCAATAGATCAAGCTTATCATTTGAATCTCATGGCTCACCGAGGTTCCCGACCAAGCCCATGCCGGCTCGAGTTCCAAGGTCGGCCTATGAGTTTGGGCGTCCCCCATTTGTCATGTAAATGTCGAGGAGATTCACTCCATCGACGTATGCAATCATAGCATACCATTTCATGTATTCAAGCATTTGATAGGTTTAAGCAGACATTTCAAGTCATGTAAACCAAGCAAATCATGTTAAGCATGAGTCATTCGTTTCAAATGAGAACGAGTGCGATCAAGTACACACTCGACTCCATTTTGTCAAAATCAGTTAAGCTAAGCATGAAATCAGGTGAATCAAGCATGAATCAAGACTTTAGAGTTCAAGTAGGCATACACTTGACACTCACTAGTTATGCGAGCAAGTAAGTTGGAGGGAGAGTTCAAACTTCTACAGTAGGGTCCTCTTGGAGGTCCTCGTGCGTGCCTGAACATCGTATTTTAGATAATTACTGTAGGTCCCCAAGTGGTGAGAAAGATTGAACACGAGTAAGGTTCGAAAATAATTGAAAACTTCGTTTGACGTGCCTTTGAAGTTGAATTCTCAAAAGGGTGTAAAACTTAAGTACAAAAATTGGATTATTATCCTTAAAATCATTGGTTGGAAACAAGTACGAGCGAAAAGATTACAAAACGAACGATCGAAATCGAAGGAAGGTTGGCCACGTCACAATCCGGCCGGATTTCTGGCCGGATTGGAGGCAGTGGCTAACCTCCTTTTTTTCAATTTTTGCCACCAATCCGGCCGACAATCTGGCCAGTTTCTAGCCGGATTCAAGGCCGGATTCTAGAAAATTGTTCCTTTGCGGATTTCCTTTGAAATTTCAGAATTTTCGATTTTTGGTCAAATCTTTGAAAAATCATAACTTCTTTTCTACTAATCGAAACTTGATGAATTTGGTACCGTTGGAATCGTCTTTGAAAGTACTAAAAGTTCTTAGAAGACACTGTTCCATGAATCTAAGTGGAAGGCATTCAAAAATGAGTCTAAAGCTGCTGTTCTAGATTGCTAGGATTGAGCCGGGTTGGTTTTTCGCTAACTTTGGAAATTCGGCAAAAATCACTCGTTGGAAACCGGCCCTTGAAACTTATAGCTCAATTAGATCTGCAAGTAAAGTTTTGGATGGAACAAGCGGCTCAAGAATCGGAGTTTCGAGTACCGAGATACGGCAGCTCGAAGTTGGAGAAAATTCAGGATTGTTACAAAATTTCCAGATTTGGTTCCAACTTTGGACCTTTAGTTAAGTGCCGAAACGGACTTGGATTGACACCAAATTTTGCAGTATAATACTTCCATATGAAGGTTATCTCTCTATCAAATTTCATGGAAAAATACCCTCGGAAGGGTGATCATTCAATCAACCAAAGTTTGGAAAAATCCTTAAAGCAATCTGTCCAAAGCTAAGGTTTTCAAAAACGAGGCAGTTGCCGTGTATTGATCATAACTCCCTCAATTTAACTCGGAATTGGAAATGGTTGAGAGTGTTAGAAAATAAATTCACAGGGCTACAACTTCACAGAAGAAATCGTTCCAGGTTTCAGCATGCAACTGGTTCAAAATCAAGCCTCAAGTTGCAGCATCATCAAATCATTTCGGCAGAACGGAGAAACAGGACAGCCGACTTCAGATGAATGGTGTGGCTCACACACATAGAACCAGAATGTTCATTATACACCGTTGGAAACATGGGAACGTCTAGTTTCAAATGCCGCTGACGGTACTTGATTTTGACGTCGGAGCACGGAGTTATGGACAAAATACAACCACTGGTCTGGATTACGGCGAAACCGTTTTCCAGATTACCAGTTTTCGAAATAATTTCGTTTGAGCAACCAAAACTCAATATTTTTCAACGAAATTTTGTACACAACTTCTAAAACATGTAAACAACATAATCAAGCCTTTAAATCCTCAATTATCTGCAGTAAAGTGACCGAACAGAGCAGGGGTAAAATCGGAACTTTTTGCTTCAAGAACTCAATAACGTTTCTGGAAATAATGCACCTTTAATCTACTTCCTTAAGCAGTATTTCAGCAATAAAACCATCATCAAACATCATCACAGCCATCAACCCAAAGTGGGAGTTCATAGAGCCCACATTTAACAATTTCCAACGATAATAAGTTACCCATAAGCATAATCAAGCTCTTAAGTGTAAGTTGGCCTTTATTGAACAAGATCTGAAGAGTGGATCATGGTTACCTTACTTGTGTGCTAAAAAGTCAGATTTTGGTGCCCCTAAAACTCCAAGAAGATCCGTGAATGTGCAGCTCTTTCTTTGTCCAAGTGATTGTCCAAGTTGTCTTGAGCTTGTGTGGTGAATCTATGAAGGTTTGGCAAGATTTTTGAGGTGAAGTTTGTAGAGGAAATGTTTGAGAAGTTTTCGGTTGTTTTTGTAGTGGCTAGCCGTCCATGAAGCTTGCAAAAGTGAAATGTTAGTCTGACTCCTTTTGCGTACAAAGAACGCTGACCGTCTAATATTTTAAGTACGTAAAATTTAATTGCAACTAGTGCCCTACGCGCGTGTTTTGTGTTCGATTTCTCTTAAATTTGTTGCACTAGTGCACTAAACCTCTAGGGCACTTACATTCATATAAATATTATTCATTCTTAATTGTCCCAAAATAATGGTCCAAAGTCCCTCAATTAAGCGCGCACGTGAAAACACGTATTTCTAATTTAGGCGCAATAAAATGAAACCTTTGAGAAATTTTTGTAACGATCGTACCACTAACTATCACTTGAGTACTTAAACCTAAAATTGCCTATTTTAGGACCATTGTATATGTCTCAAATTTTTGAGCTTATTGTACTCCCAATTGGCTAAAGTGTTTAGACACGTTTTCATTTTTTCGCTAATCAAGCTTTTAAGAAAATAATTTTTGAAATGAGGCGCTTTAAAAATATAACGAAACTATAAAACCATGTACTTAGGTCTAATAAGGCTAGAAAATATTATTCGGAATAAATGGGCAATTAAATATACAAATGAGCTCGAAAATAGGAATTTAAAATAATGAATTTCGCGAGTTCTCACAGGAGTCTAGTATTAATTCCTCAATTAACCTTTCTTAATCTATTATTGATCATTTTTAATTCTCCAATATTAATACACTCCTGATTCAAGTATAGCCTCGAAAACGTGTACTTGTTATTTCGAACTAAACGAATTTCTGAAAAGTGAATTTTCCAACAAAATGTTTTAAAATTATAAAGAGGCGTCATTCCATATAAATAAATTTAAAATGGTCGAAATAAATAATTCGAAGAAAATGAGTGAATAATCTTTTAAATATTCCAGTAATATTCTATAAAAATAAGAAAATTTTCGGGTCCTCACACCTAGTATATATGAGTAGGGTTTAGGTTTAATTTATTAACCCAGACCCTGACCAAATCTAGATCCCGTAAGAGAATCATGAATTTGGGTGGAGTATGGTTTTCTATGATTTAGATCCAAATTCAAATCCAAATTAGACCCTACCAATACCCATGTAATATTCTATGTGTGTGTATGTATCAGTAAATTCGGAAAATAACCTAATATTCTATGTCATTATAATTAGTACAAACATTTTCAAGAAAAAAGAAAAATGAAAGCAAATAAATAAAAGATTGAATATAGACACAGATGAAACTTTGAAAACAAATAGTTTTAGTTGATAATAATTCTTTCTTTGAGTTCATAATATTGTATTCAACATCATGAATGTTGATTTTATTATTTGAAAATAAAAATTGGATGATATTTATGTTATTTTTTAACTCTATATATTTTCAAAATATATTTACCTTGGTTCTTCATTGTATGTTCAAAAAAGTATTCACGAATACCCGTTGAATACCTAAACCTATGAGGGTTCGAATTTGAGTTTACTTTTTCAAACCCATAAAGGGTTGGATATGGTTTTGCGTCTAACTAAATTTAATAAGTATGAATGTAGATCAAAGAGATCTAAATCAAACCCTATCCATTAAAATACCTATAAAATACCTATACTATACAATATAAATTAAACCTTGTCAATTCCCTTGGGCCCACAAATTATGTTGACTTGGTAAACCCCTGGATAATTACCTCCATTTTTTATATATAAAATATCATAGTTTTATTAAAATTTACATTAATGATAGAAATTACATCATTAAACATACACAGATATCAAAAAACAGGATAATATGGTGATCTCTATCGAATATATCCAAAAAATTCCAAATCTGATAATCAAAATCTAAAAAAACTTATCTTGGGCACATGAAGAAAGCAATTTTTGTCGTTCCAAACTTCAAAATTGACTTTTAATAGTCTATTAGCTATTGTCCTTGAAAATGGTTCATCACCTTCACTTCATGATGTTTATCCAAATTTTAGATTATCCTTAAATGTTTTATTGAAATTATACTGGTCTTGCTATGTTACCTATGTAGAAGGAAGCATAACAATTACTTTGATCGAAAAACAGTTTATACAAATAACATTTAATTTTATAATAATATTTTATAGAATTTTTTTTGGAGGTAGAAGTTAACATTTACTTCAAACCTTATGTGAGGGAAAACTAAAATTTCTAGATTTTAAACAGTTGGTGACTAGGAATGACAACGACATGGATTTGGAATTAGAGAACCCTCTCCCGTCTCCCCTCCCGCGCTTTAAAAACTTCCTCTTGCCCTAAGCTATCCCCCCTGCCCCCACCCCACTACCCAATATGGGTGCCCTAATGGGTGGTTCAAAATAAACTTCTATTTTTCATATATAATATCAACAAATAATTGTATAAATCAATCTTTTGAACTTTTAACTAAAATTCAACATGAAATTAAGTTTAAAATATACTTTAATTTTTTAAAAATATTTCTCCGTATTTATTAGCATAACTAAAGTAATATCTGCTACTATTATTATCTTATTGCAAACATGCAATACACCAAAAAAAAAAAATTTCAGTAAACTAAAAATAACAAAATCATCATTTTACCACACAAATAATGATATCATGAGTTTTCAAATTATAATGTATATGTCTGTATGTGTATGTGTGTGTGTCTATATATATATAGAGGTGGGGATAGTACCGATACAAATCCCCACCACCCTTACTATATATAATATGTACATAGATATTGACAAATATAGTTACGTATTAATTAATTTATTTAATTTATAGGTGGGGATAGTACTGAGACAAATTCCCGCAACCGCTACTCCCACTCCGCATTTCTCCCCGCCCCATTTCTATGCCTACGGGGCGGGCATACTTACCGATTGTGACCCCTCTCCATCTCTTAATTCCCGTGCCATTAGAAGGGCCAATTTAGAATGAAAGTGAATAAAGTTGGCATCTATGCTGCCCTATGGTTAGGTGACCTATAGCATTGAATGGTTTCATTTCTAGCTTTGAATAATGAAACCATGAAGATGAAGTCTCAAGGATGAATTGTCGTGCCTCTATCAATCACCTCGATGATGGATCATGCGTAGGGGCAAGAGCGGTCATCAGACCGATCGCTTCTGAACGGTCTCCTCACAATAGTTGGTATATAATTGTCTAATCAGCAAATCTTTGCAAATCATTGATGGTTGAGATGTAATCAAGTAACAAGGTTTAAAACTTTAAGAATTGTTCTATTCAGGACGCACGATAGAAAATGGATCTATTTTCCACTTATTTGAAGACGATTTTATAATTCAAAAAATAAATAATAATAATTGAAATTTATAGTGAGTCCATCCTTTCTATTTTATATGCTTATTCTGTGCTATACTTTTAAGGACATAATAGAAAAACCCAAAATTTGAATTTAATAGAAAGAGTACTTATGGAATAGCAATATATTCAAAGATTTATAATTGTGCCTAAAATAAGTACTAGAGGAAAAGGTAAAATAGCAAAGAGTTTTTTTTTGGGTTCCCCTTATCAAGATCTGGCATAAAGAGTGACTTCTAATACGTCGTTGATAGCACATACAATCACTCATCATTCTCTTTCATATTTAAAAATAGATTAATTTTCTATACATTAATAATGTATACAGTATTAAATCTAAATGCATACTATTTGTTTCAAATTTTGAATTTTAAATTTGAATTAATATTAGTTGTCATGCATTTGAATCTAATAGCATATACAGTGTATACAGGATTAATTCTTAAACAATTATACATATTGTGGTGAATGAAAGTTGGGGGAGGCGATGAAGAGGGGACACCATATCAACAGTGTTCATAAGTTTCAAAGAGAAAAATCATAGAGGGACTAAGAGCCTAAAAGTCTTCGATTTGGGTCCTCATTGTGTCAATGAATGATTTCCCATCTAGTTCACGGGGAAGAAACGCTTTTAAATACTCAATCATACTAATTCTTCTGAAAATTGCTGGATTTTCAGGGGTGATAAGACTTGGCGCTGTACCCATGTCACCATCCAGTTTTGGGGAAAAGAACGTTGCAATGGAAAGCCTTTCGTTGTGCAAATTCACAGTTGCCCGATGCTCAACACTCTTGTAAATCCCATTTGTCACAATCTGCATCTCAGTTAAAAAACGTCACATTTTTCCCAACTGTGTACTATGTAGCATACATTCTCATAAAAGTTCAATTAGGCTCAACAATAGGATATGGTTAACAGGGTAATCTTGTGAGTCCACCTATAACTACTGTTATGGCCCAAAAACATTGGAGATAGAATTCAGAAGCAATACCCTGATAGATCCAGGACATGATTTGTAAGTAACTCGTGTAATTAGCATTGAAATCAAGACAAAAAGTAAATTCCTTTCTGAAAATCAAAACAAATTTGTTGGGGAAAAGAGCAAGTACTTTTTTTAAAACGATGAAAGGAAAGTAGTTTGAATTTTACCACTCGTACATCACAGGTAAGCAATAATATGGAGGGTGGGGTATAAGGGCATGTACAATACTAATTTTGAAGTTATTATGCCCAAGTTTTTTCAATATAAGACCTTTTCATCCATATATTTTATGCTTTTTTTGACTTTATAAAGATACGCGTTCTATTAAAGTAGTCAATATTCTACCAATAAACAACATTCGTTTAACTCTGACAAAGTAGCCAAAGTTAGAAGTTTAGCCACAAATTTGCAAAAGTTAAATTTTGGGATGAAAGCTACGCTTTGACCTTGCCTCATTTGCTGGGCGGTGCAAGTTGATAATTAGTCTTACACATCAACCTAGTGCATACTAATCATAATCGGAAAGGTTATCTCTTGAATCCTATTAAAATATGGGAAGGACATTCTAATTTCCATATATGTTCATAATTGTAGAAACTAATTTGAAAATATCTCATAAGGGAGGCCAAAAACTAGATAGATGTTGTAATTATATAAACAGAAAAGCAATTTGAAGAGATTGTTCATATTCACATTGCATCTTGGGAGAAAGGATTTTGAGCATGATTACCTCTAAAATGTCTCCAACATTGACTATGAATGCATTAGGAAG